CTAAATTGTCACAAAACGGTGATGGTTTTTTAATTTTGCGACGGTTGTTTCCATTGCTAAAGTAGCGACGGTCCGAAAACCGTCGTAAAAGTTTAATGACTAGCATTTTATCGACGATTTTTGGACCGTTGCAAATCCGTCGCTAATTAAAATTAGCGACAGATTTTAGCGAATTAGCGACGGTCTAAACCGTCGCTAATTCTATTTTTTTTTTGTAGTGAGAAGAGCAAATATATTATAATCCGAAATGATAAATTTATTATAAATGATATACTATTCTCTTCAAAGTCTCATAGAAATTTATTGAGTTTCAAAGATATTCATCTAAATTGATATCATATCAAGATAGCAAATATGAATACTTAGTTTTTATAATCATTATACCGGGTAGAAAATATGTATTAAAAAATTTACCCGATTTCTCTTCTAGTCTTTATTGCAAATATTTAAATGATTTAAACAAATACTATAGTAAACCAAAAGTTTACTAATTCAAATGCTTTTATTATGTGACATGATCAGTTGTACTATCTTAGGTCTTTCATGATGCGAAAAATTATAAAAAAATCATATGGACATCTATCGAAGAGCCGTAAGATTCTTCAATTTAATGAATTTTCATGTTCCGTATGTTCTCAAGGCAAATTGATTGTTAAGCCATCACCAAGTAAAATTAAGATTGAATCTCCAATATTTTTAGAATGTATTCAAGGTGATATATATGGATCATTCATCCACTATGTGGACCATTTAAATATTTCACAATTTTAATAAATGCATCAATGAGATGGTCGCATATTATCTACTTGAAACCCGACGTTTTCGAGATTGCTAGCAAATAATTTGATTTCGAACATAATTTTTAGATTATGCCATTGAAATAAGTCACCTTGATAATGTTGATGAATTTATTTCTCAAGCATTAAATTATTATTGATTTGCTATTAGCATAAAGGTTGAACATCTCGTTGCTCATGTTCATACTCGAAAGGTTTAGCAAAATTATTTATAAAAGGGTCCAATTGATAGCTAAACCATTATTTAAAAATAAAACTCCCCGTTTATGTTGGGGGACATACAATCTTATATGCAAGCAACACTTATTCGCATCGGACCCATAAGTTATCATAAATTCTCTCCTCTTCAATTGATTTATGGTTATGAGTCAAATATTTCTTATTTAAGAATTTTTGACATTGCGAGTATATATCCATAGTGCTCCTCCATAATGAATAAAATGGGCACTTAAAAGAGATTGGACATATATGTTAGATTTGAATCCACTTCGATAATTCAATCTTTTGATTCATGAACAAGAGATATTTTTACAACTCAATTTATCAATTGTCATTTTGATAAAATAGTTTTTTTCAACATTAAGGGGAGAGAATAAGTAGTTGAAAATGTTAAAAAAAAATTACGGGGAGTACTCTATCTTTATGTCATATTGAATCTCGAACAAAATAATATAAACAAGAAGTTCAAAAGATAATTTATTTACAAGGTATTACAAACCAACCGCTAGATGCATTCTCGGATCCTAAATGAGTAACTATAATGCATGTCCTCGCCGAGAATGCTCCAATTAAAATTGATGCCCTAGAATGTCGGTCTATTAATGTTATAGCTAATGAATCTAAAACACGCCCGAAGCATAGAAGACCAATCGGTTCTAAAGAAAAAAATCCCTAAAAGAAAAGGGCAACATAAAAATATAAATGATGTCAATATTTCTAAAACGGTCAATGATATTTAGGATAATAGGCTTCTAGAAGAAGTCCAAATGCTTGAGAAAAATTAAGAGACTTTGATAAATTATGTCAATTCAAGAAGAAAATAAGGATAGAAAAAAATATTTTTTTAATATAATGTTTCAATTAATACCTTGAATGAAAATAATGATCTTGAGCCTAAATTTATTGAAGAATGTCGACATAAAGATAATTGGCCAAAATGAAATGAACAATCTAGACAGAATTATATTCTTTTACAAATGAGTAGTTTTTGAACCCATAGTTAAAACACCCGAAGATGTTAAGCCAATGTAATACAAATGTGTGTTTATGCGAATACGAATTAAGGAAGATGAGATTGTAAGATACAAAGCAAAAATTTTAACACAAAAGTTTTCATCAATAATTGATATTGACTATGAGGAGACATATTCTCTTATAATGGATGCAATTGTCTTTTGTTATCTCATTAGCCTAGAAAAATATATGAAAAATATTCATATGCATTTAATGAATGTGATCATAGTTTATTTGTTCATTTGATATGATATCAATATAAAAGTCTTAGAAGGACTTAACATGTCGAAGCATGTAATACATATTCTTGAGAGAAGAATTCAATTAAATTATAGAAATCTCTATTATAATTATTTTAATATTTTTTTATTATTTTAGTTTTTAGAAATTCAATTTATATTATATTTTTTAATATTTTATTTTTGTATCTACTCGTTTATTACTAACCCATGCGCATGTGATATAATTACTTCAATGATTATTTATTGAAAGAAAGTTATAAAAAAATAACCCTATTTGTTCATATATTTTTATTTGAAAAGGGGTTTATTGTATATATTGATGACTTCAATATTATTGGAACTCCCGAAGAGATTCCAAGTGTCATAAGTTATCTAAAAAGATAATTTGATATGAATACCTTGGGAAAAAAATGTTATCTCGACTTGCAGTTCGAGCACTCGGAGAATGAGATTTTTATTCGTTAGTCAATTTATATAAAAAAAAGTTTTACAATGATTCTATATAAAGATTATCCATTGACTAGCCGAATGATAGTTTATTCACTTGATGTTCAAAAGGACCCTTTTCGACCTCGAGAAGATAATGAAGAACTTCTTAGTCCCGAAGTACCCTACCTTAGTGCAATTGGTGCATTAATATATTTTGATAATAATACTCGACATGATATAATATTTTTTGTAAATTTACTAGCAAGATATAGTTCCGCTCTAACACAAAGACATTGGAATGAAATTAAACATATACTATGTTATCTTCGAGAAACAATTGATATGCGCTTATATTACATTAAAAATCAAAGACAAGATTAATTGGTTATGTAGATGCGAGTTCTTTATTTGATCTACACAAAGCTCGATCACAACTCGGTTATATATTTACATATGAAGATACAACTATATTTTGACGTTCTATGAAGCAAACTATAGTTGCCACATCTTCAAATCATGTAGAAATATCAATTCACGAGGCAAGTCGAGAATGTGTTTAGCTAAGATCAATGATCCATCATATCCAAGAGACATGCAGTTTATCTATCAACAAAAGAAGTTTCAACAATATCATATGAGAATAATGTCGCTTGCATAATTCCATTAAAAGAAGAATACATCAAAGTGACAATCCAATAGATTTATTCGCTAAATTATTACCTACCGCAACTTTTGATAAGATGATTCACAAGATTGAAATACATCATCGTAGAGATCTCAAATGATGTTTTCAACAGGGGAGGCCAACATTGAGATTAATATGTACAAAGAATATTATACTTTTTTTCCTTCACTAGGATTTTTTCCCACTCGGGTTTTTTCTAGTAAGGTTTTAACGAGAGATGTTCCTTGTACAATTGACATTTAAGGGGAGTGTTACGAAATAATGAATGTCCATCATCATGTTAATCTACTTTTCATATCCCTATTACTCATGATTCTTAATATGATTCAATTCATCATTCAATATGAGAAATTGGAGGGATGATGCAATTGATTATTCATAGTCCCTTCTAATTCTCTTCTCAAATTTGAAGCCTATAAATAGGCTTGAATATTCATTAGTTGGTGTATAAGCATTTTGTAAGGATTATGAGAATTGTTTAGAGTTATTATCTCTTATATTTTCGTTATAGTGAAATCATTTCTTCATCATTTTTTTTTCTCTTCAATTCTCTTACTATTTCTATTTCTTTTATAAGCATGTTTGTCATTTTTTTCGTCAAAAAAAAATCTTATAATATGATTTTTTTTTCTTGCTCGTGATTTTTTTTATATAATATAAGCTATATTATAAACATTTTATTAGTGGTTGCGATCTTTTAAGTTTTTATTTTATTTTATTAAATTAGTGAGAAGCTAGAATTACAAAATACGGATATGTTGCTAGTCGTTATTCATTATTTCAAAAAAAAAAAAAATGGCTTGTATGTATACTCCGTCCGGAGACTCGCAGTATGGTTTTTTTTTTTCCCTTGGTTATGTGATCTCACATCTAGTCACACAAAATAGTTGTTTTTACGAGCATTTTCCTATTGAATTGAAATGCATAACGGCAATAGTTATCGAAAGTATTCAATTCGTAATGTTTTACATTTACAAGAAGCTCGTTATCGTTGACGTGAAAATATCGTTAAAATATAAGACTTACTAGTGCTTATACTTTTAAAGTCGTTAAAATATCTTCTCGTTGACCAAAAAAAAAAAAAAAGATTGAAAAGTATTCCATGATAATTTATTTAAATAAGTGGTTTTGATTTTTAGTTTTTGCGTATATAAAAAACTTTTTAAATAGATAGTTGTATTTGTTTTGTGCATCCAATCAAATAATGATGGATTAGTTTGGGTTTTAAACTTAGAATACTTTAAAGATAAAAAAAAAAAAAAGGATAACACCTCTTTATCATCTAAAAATATTTTATTTTATTTTATGTTTATCCATACAATCTTGCTTATTTTTCAAAATAATTTTTTGATAGTTCAATGCTTATAATTATTTTGGTATCAAATAACTTTTGTCAATCAAATTAAGTAACGTATAAGAGCCACGACTATTGTGCTTAACATTTGCAAGTTTATATGGTTAGTATTATTTGTTTGATTCCTCTCAGAAAATATCCACTAATGCATAGCCTCACGAAACAACGTTAGATTCATATATGTACATGTTCAAAAATACTTTAATCCAGGAAAAAGTCACGTTATTTCTTCTTATAGTGATCTCAGTGTCACTTTGGATATGCCCTCTTCAAAGTTTCGATTTTTTCTTGTTAGAGGAAGCCCTTTCTTGACTTGTTTGATCACTAGCAATACAGAAATTTCCATTTCAACAATACATGCCATTATCTCATTTTCTTCAAGTAATTCTTCAAGTAATTCACTCACCAAGTACACCGTCAAGCTTAACAACAATCAAACATGGCTCATATATTCATCTTCTCCCATAAATTTGAGTCACGGTCTTTCTTCGATCACTTCTGAAGGGTTTTCAGGGATTATAAGGATTGTTGTATTGCCGGATTCTGATCCAAAAAATGAAGCAATTCTTGATAGGTTCAGTTCTTGTTATCCAGTATCATGTGATGCAGCTTTCACTAAACCATTTTGTTTAGAGTATAATAGTATTGATGGTGAACTTGTTGGTGTTGTTGGAGATTCTTGGTTATTGAGAACTGATATTGTTTCAATAACTTGGCATTCAATTAAGGGTATCAGAGAACAATCTTATGGTGAAATTGTTGATGCACTTGTTAAGGATGTTGGGGGATTAGATTCATCGGCTATAACAACAACATCATCTTATTTTTATGGTAAATTAATTGCAAGAGCAGCAAGGCTGGCTTTGGTAGCCGAGGAGGTGTGTTTTCTTGATGTGATTCCAAATGTAAGGAAGTTCTTGAAGGAAACAATTGAGCCATGGTTGGAGGGGACTTTTGGTGGGAATGGTTTTTTACATGAAGATAAGTGCGGTGGGATCGTCACTAAACAAGGGCTAACAGATTCGGGTGCTGATTTTGGGTTTGGAATTTATAATAACCATCACTTTCATCTGGGGTACTTTCTGTATGGCATTGCTGTTCTTGCAAAAGTTGATCCAGCATGCGGTAGGAAGTACAGGACACAAGCTTATTCACTTATGGCTGATTTTATGAACTTGGGAAGGCGATCAAATTCGAATTATGCACGCTTGTGGTGCTTTGATTTGTATAAATTGCATTCTTGGGTTGAAGGGCTAACTGAATTTGCTGATGGGCGGAACCAGGAGAATACAAGTGAACCGGTGAATGCATACTATTCAGCGACTTTAATGGGATTAGCTTATGGAGACACTCATCTTGTTGCCACAGGATCATTGCTTGCTGCATTAGAAATTCACGCAGCACAAACATGGTGGCACGTAAAAGAGGAAGATAAGTTGTACCCAGAAGATTTCACTAAAGAGAATAGAGTGGTGGGTGTTCTGTGGGCTAACAAGAGGGACAGTGGGCTCTGGTTTGCACCTCCTGACTGGAAAGAGCGTAGGCTCGGCATTCAGTTGCTGCCCTTGTTGCCTATTAGCGAGGTTTTGTTCTCTGATGTTGGATTTACAAGAGAGCTAGTAAATTGGACATTACCAGCTTTGGCGAGAAGAGTTAGAGAAGGATTGAAAGGATTTATTTATGCCTTAGAAGGCATTTATGACAAAGAAAGTGCATTAGAGAAGATTAAGAACTTGAATGGTCATGATGATGGCAACACACTTACCAATCTTTTGTGGTGGATTCACAGCAGAGGTGATGAAGAGGAAGTGGGGTGTGAAGGAGGTGGAAAATTCTGCTGGTTTGGTCGCTATTGTCACTGAGTTTGTTTCCTTGTACCTGTTACGTGGATATGAAGGGAAGATTGGAGTGAATAATGAGAGTATTTGATTGCTTTCTGTGCTTTATATGTTTTTCTGTTTTTCTATTTTTGTATTTTGTATTTTGAACATCTATACAAATATAAAGGTTGAAATGGATTGTACATTTCTTTCAATCTTATCATACTGAGCCTCTTATTAGCACATGGCCTGCTTCAAAAGACTTTCATGTGATCTTCTTTACTGATATCATGAAGTCCATGGTTTATATTTTTATATCATTCTGCTGCTATATGTGTTGATGACTTGAAGTAACTTAATTATAATCACACTTTTCTTTTCTCCTACTGAAATTTTTGGAAAACTAGAAAAGCTGAAGAATTTTGAGGCCGTTGAATGCTGTCATGAAACAGAAGCCATTTTGACTGCACTGGGCAATGGCAGGCCATGGCATACTTCTTTTTCTTCTTCTTTTCCCTTTTATTTGGGAGAGAGAGAAGCCATATGCATACTTTGGTATTGCATGAGAGTTCAACTTTCCAGCGAAGGATGTACGAGAGAGAGAGAGAGAGAGAGAGAGAGAGAGAGAGAGAGAGAGAGAGAGAGAGAACGCTAATGTTCTTTCATATTTCCTTGTCCAAGATAAAATCTAGATGTTACAAGGTGATGATAGCTCACTAGATTTAGTTTTACTGATTTACAGATATCGTTATGGTTGCTAGTATATCAATCAAGTACATGTGATAAAAAAAAAAAAAAAAAGGTTTTAATTGGCGTTATTGGTCTCCTTTACCTTCCCTTTTCCTTTGTTCTGCCAAATCATGTAAAACCGCATCCATTCCACTGCCATTTTTACCTCGGATCTAATTCATTAGAGTAGTTTATCTCTTTTTTGGGAAAAACTGAGGAATCAAAATTAAATAAGAAGGGTTGCAGTTGCTCGGCACATGACATCCGATGATCCTTCTAGCCAAATACAAATCCTGCTTCTGCACCATCTAGTTGAGGTTTCCCTTCACGACTAAAAATCTACTGTCTATATAATTTAGCAAAAAAGCAATGACTGGGCAAGGATTGGATGAGCGAGAACTCGGGGTACAAGTCCATGCATCAAATTACATTTCCAATTGTTGTGAGTTTTATTATTGAGATAAGGCTTTGACCCACGATGCACAATTAGGAAGCCACTAATAATATCTCAAAAATATCTCAAACTTACACTATTAATATGAGAAGTTTTATAAATAGTAATTACTTCATAGGCTCACTTTGAAAAGAGAGATACACAAAAAAAAAAGAAGAGAAATTACATATATACTCACCAAAAGTAATAAGAAGATTTTCGAGTCCGCTTAAATTTTTTTATTTTCTCTTTTTTTTTTTATGTATATCTCGTCTCCTCAAAGTGAACATGTAGAGTAACTACTATACATGTTACTAGTTACTTCTTTTATATTATAAAATTTCTCCTATTAATATCTCAATACAATATTTGCACATGGTAAGTTTCGATTAATTGTAGAACAATTTAATGAGAAGCGAGATATTATTCGATGTCAAAAACTAAATCTTCCAAAACCAGAGCTCTAACATCAATTGTTGGAAATTTAAAGAACCGGAGATTCAACACACCACCATAAACTACCCAATTCAATAGGAAAATAATAATAATAATAGAGGTGAATAAAGAATGGATACATAAGATTTAATGTGGTATGGCAAAATCTTGTCACTCCACAAACTCCGAGAGTAATTCTTTAGTATGAGAAAAAAATTAATAAAAGAATATGATTGTGATTTTTATTTCCAAAGCCTCTTGTACAACCACTCTTACACTAAAAAAAAAAAAAAACTCTCAACCCTTTTGGCTTTCACACACTAAAATCATTTATTTATTCATCTATTTATAATGACCAAAATCCTTTGCTCGACAAGGAATTTTTTTTATCGTAAAAGACGACTTCGGGGGTTAAAATGACAAGCTTAAAAGTAATCAAAAAAAGAATTAAAAAAAGTTATCACCTAGTATTAATGGTTTCGGGAACCAAAATAACTCATATACATAAAGATTTATGACAAAAGATTGGTTTTGTGTAGGAAAGATAAAAATTATCACATCCCATATTACATAAGGCAAACTACATCACATATAAGTTCAATCATAATTTCTAGTTTTTACCATGTGAAAGTCTATGTCTATTTGATATGTTTGTTATTAAATCGGACGCCAATATGTTGAATGACTTGAGATTTGGCTAGTCAAAGGCATTTTCTAACTTTAATAAGACGTCATAAACTTAAAAGAAAATAAACATTAGATAAACCCAAATGAAAATCCATAATTTTTTTATGTATGTAAAATGACAACTCACATATGAATTCGTGAAATAAAAACTCACTACTTAACCTATAATACGTAAAATAAAACTCACAACTTAACCTATAATATGTGAAATAAAACTCATGACGTTGCCTATATATTATGTTTGAAATAAAAACCCAAAACTTAACCTATTATATGTGAAATAAAAACTCATGAATTAATGCGTAAAATAAAAACTTACAACTTAACCTATAATGTGTGAAATGAAAGCTCATAACTTCACTCATAATGTATAAAATAAAAACTCGCGACTTAACCTAAAATACATAAAATAAAAAATCACAACTTAACCTATTATAGGTGAAATAAAAGCTCATGACTTAGCTTATAATGAGTGAAAATGACCTATCCTAAAATGAATGAAATGAAAACTCATGACTTAACTTATTATGTATGAAATAAAAACTCAGAATTTCACCTATAATGCATAAAATGAAAGCTCACAACTTAACCTAAAGTACATGAAATGAAAACTCACAAATCCACTCATATTGCATGAAATAAAAACTCATAAATTCACTCATAATTTTTGAAATGAAAACTCACGACTTCCTAAACTCGTTTGAAATAAAAACTCACGAATCTACTCATAATGCATGAAATTAAGACTCACAACTTTCTAAAATATGTAAAATGAAAACTCATGAGTTGATTCATAATATGTGAAATAACAACTCATGACTTTTTAGAATGCATGAAATTAAAACTCACCAACTCTACTCATAATGTGTGAAATAAAAACTCATGACTTTCTAAAATGTGTAAAATAAAAACTCATACCTCTACTCATAATGTATGAAATAAAAACTTACAACTTCTTAAAATGCATAAAATAAAAACTCATAACTCCACTCAAATTAGTCACCGAAAAAAAAAAAACAAGTCGCCGATAACACAAGACACATATTCATAGAAATCTTCAACGAAATAAGTCACCGATAACACAAAACACATATTCAAATCAATCACCTTAAACACATACTTAAATCAAACGTCAATGAATAGGTCACCGACAATGTAACACATTTTCATGAGAAATCACATCAAACACATATTCAAATCATATTCACATCGAGTGCATAATTTACATCCACATTTAAACATTTAGGCAATCAAGCTTATACCATGATCGATACTTATCCTTGATAAACCTCCATTTTAAATCTTAATTACATCCTCTTAGATCCGTTGCGAGCATTTAATCCAACCTTATTCACCTTAAAATGCCCGACGGTCTTAAGCCCCTCAAGTTCGATACATAAAAATATATTTCACACACTTTAACAGATCAATCAAGTCATAGTTAAATTACTTTTTACATTAGATTGTAGTTCTTTAAAACATAAATATAAGTTATTTAATTGATACTAGGTAGTTTAGGAAACTTACCTAACGATTAGTTAGATTGTAACAAGCTATTGGAATTGCCACTCGCCACCTAAATAAAAAATGAAAAAAATGCTATTTAGGGGTTAGTTTAGCTTTCTTCGACCTCGATGAAGATTGTAGTGATTACGGTCGGTTAGGAGGAGAAAACAATTGCCCGTTGGACAAAGTTGATCTCCATCCTTTTCCTTCCGCCTTGGAAATCACTTAAAGCCAAAATCAAGTACAAAAAAAGCCTAGACCATATATTAACTCAATGTCAAGTTGGGCGATACAATTTAGAAATTGTTCTTAGTCGATTTGGCGTCTATTTTTTGCTTTTTTTGGTTGTCGATGGCGATCATAAATAAGGTGATAGTGGTGGTTGTGTTTGATTGATGGTTTTAACTAGAGAGGGAGGTTGAGTTTGGGTGGCTAGGTCTTGACCATGATGGCTATAATGGTTGTTAGGGTGGCTTTTTGGCATTGATAGTGGCCAAAGTGAGGAGATCAATAAGGAAAGTCGAGCTTGGCGGCAAGGTCTCGTTGTAATGGCAATTTGAGTGGTTAAATCTTGGCTATGGTGGCAATAGTAAAGGTTAGGGTGGTTGTTTGGGATGGCTAGTGGCTAGAGGGAGGACACTAAAAAAAAAACTAAATAGCTATAGAAATTAGCGCAATAGACATGAATTTATCAATATACAGAGTGATAGATTAATGAATGAACAATGATTGACATAAATTTATAAATATTTTTAGTAATAGTGATGGAGTACTAGTGATTGTATGATGAAAATTCAATTACAAAACAATGTTGTTACTGAATTATGCTATAAATTTTTGGCATTTAATTCAATGATGGATTACAAATTAATTTAAAATGGTATTTAGTGATGGGTGATATTAGTTGTTGCTAATTTTGGCATGCGTTAATTTTTCACAAATGTGAGATGATTTAACGATGGCTTGTCAATTTCGTTACCCAACATTTTGGAGACTTCCAAAAATTATTATTTAAATTATTTATTTGGTTTATTTACTAGGGATGTGAGTTAAACCATGTTTTGGAGTCGCCACATAGTATTAAAGAAACTAGGAAACCTTAAAATAGCATTGGTTCGGAGATGCTAGCATTAAAGATATCAATCACCTCAAAGCACCCTTTCATAGTAAAGATATCATGTTTAGTCTAGTCCTTAAAATTTATCTCCTAATAATTCTATTATTGCCAAAATTAATCCTAAGTCAAATTCCA